ACCCACTTTATCAACTACCACCATACCACTGGTCTTAAGTAGTAACTTTTGTTGGTAAATGTGAGACTTTTGTGTTGCATCTTCACAACCTCAAACAAGGAAGTCAGACTGATGATGCGGAAATTACTATCATTGGTCAAATTTACAGAGAAGTTGTGGTAACTGGACAAAACTGCAAGATTACACAGAGCTGCTGGCATCACAATGTTGTAACACCCTGGAGGGAGTAAAAAAGATATTGTCTCAGAAACAGGATCTAACTTTATTTCTGTGGATATGTTACCGTTTAATCTTTTAAATGTAATCTTTCAAAGAAATCAAATCAAATAAAACCAAAACGACTTAGAATTAGTGTACAAAACTATAGTTAACTTTTCACCTCCCTGTCCAGTACAGTCATCTTAACTGTACATCCAAGAGGACTCTCTCTGGGATTGTGACAAAGGCAAGTAAAATAGTTGGCAGTGAAAACAACCCTTGACCCAATTCTTTACAGAGAGGACGAGGAGGAAAGCAAGGAGTATCTTGGCAGATAGCTTCCATCCTCTCTTTAGCCAGTTCAAGCTCTTGAGCTTCAGGAGGCGATATAGAGTCCCTCTAGCAACTAAAATGTATTTAATGTATCCTTCATCCCAAGTGCCATCAGTGTCCTTAACTCAACAAAGTCACTGACGAGTTTTAAACCACAGACAATGAGCTGATTTAATATGTTTTGTAATGTAATGTTGTCTTTTGTGTCTGGTGAGCCAAAGACTAATTTCCACCCCTGGTAGACAATAAGGATATATTCTATTCTCTTTTGTTCTATTCTACTTAAATGGCAAGATGCCAACAGAATCAAGCGGAAAAGACTTTTTAAAATAACATGGTCTAGTAAAAAAATAGACAAAGGCTTGTGCTGTGATTAAAAATGGTCCTCAAACATCCCGTCCGACTTCAAATGATTCATAGTCCTCCTCAGTGGGGATTTTTAATGACATCCCCACACTGCTCCATTATGTCGAGGCCTGACAGGAAAAAAGACCACAGGCTTTGCTTTTTCAAGATCCTTCCTCAGATTGTTCAATGTAATTTAACAGGGTGAGCTCAGAGAACTTTCTGCGCTGTCAGTGACATTATGTATACAAATGAAGGAATGCAGGATCCTGTTAAAAGGGAGGGGGTTTTACACGTGTAGTGAGTGAGACTCACCTCACAAGTTTTTACACTTTTTGACTTCTGTGCAAAGTAAACGGTTCAGGATCTCTTGTCAACAAAACAATTACAAAGAAAAGATTATCCTTTTCCAGGAACTGTGCTGCGTCACTACCACACAAATGCATGAAGTGGCTCATTTTGAAATCTCAAGGTGCTCCGGCTCACCAGATGACTTACACACGAATCATGACTGCACAAACAGAGCAGTAGGCGTAGGGGTTCACAAGCTGAATAAGGTAGAACATTGTTTCATCCTGGCCACAAGAACCCATTGAATCAACTTATCTGAATCACATAGCTGTGGGTTGTGCATCTGTGGCCAACCTGCCTCCCTAAAGACCACAGTTTATCTGGACACTTAAGTCTGATACAGATCATCTGCTGCTTCAGTGCATTTCAGCCCCCAGGGTTACGACTGCATTGGGAATTCTAGAAAACTTTTATCATCTAAACTTTTATTTGCCTCACAGCTCCTCACAGACTGTGAAATAGAGAATTTTGCATGCTGATTTTTGAAGACCGGAGAGAGCCTTTAATGAATTTTTGTGGCTGATGACATGAAAGCTGAAAGTTTGGCAACTTATAGGGTACGCCTAAGTTCATAACTGTGATTTAAGATTTGACCTACTTGGGAGGGTGGAGATAGATAATGTTTAATCATCTGTGTCATCAGTCAGTAAGTTCACTGGTCTAAGCAAGGATAGCAACATAGAAGCACCACAGTGTTACAGTAAAACCCATCTGTAGGCAAAAGTTAATATTGTCACTTAACTGTATGGAATAATGTTCCTCTACTGAGACAAAATAATGAAGTAATTAACTACATATATGATAGAAGTCCAGTCAAATGTCCAGTCTTTACACCTCAAACTGCTGCCTGTGCATCTCTGTTCTGACTTTCACCTTTCCAACAGACTGTGTCAAAGTAAAAGTGGAGGTTATAGGACCATGATTAGTGAGTGTCAGTCAGCCTATCAGGACAACAGCAGCCTTTCAAAGCAATCACACTGTGATCATTAAGTTAATGGACAAATTATAACCAGTGGTGTCTGGTTAAATGAGTGCATGACTGTGAGAGTGGTTAAAGGAAAAGTTCACCCCCAAATCAAAAATACATATATTTCCTCTTACCTGTGGTGCTATTTATCAGTCTAGATTGTTTTGGTGTGAGTTGCAGAGTGTTGGAGATATCAGTCGTAGAGATGTCTGCCTTCTCTCAAAATTAATGGAACTACATGGCACTCAGGTTGTGGTGCTCAAAGTGCCAAAATAATACTTCTGAAAAACTCAACAGCAATGTCTCCTTCCACAAATCATGACCCAGTTCCTCAGATAATCCACAGACCTTGTTGTGAGCAGTTTCATTGAGGAACTATTTTCTTTCTACTAAACTACAGCTGCCAACTGTATCACCACGCAGAAGGAAGCGTGCATCTGCTGCTAGCTCACCTAGCACCACCAGGCTAGCTAATGTTGCTGCTCAGCTGAGGAGGACACCGTTAATGATTACACTTCATCCTGTCACAAGCACAGATGTACAGTATAAAGAGAACTGGATACAGTGTTGGAGATGAGGAGCCCTTGTTCATGTCTGGGAAAGTTGCTCAGTGGTGCATGAAGCTAAAAAACTTAATTTCCATGGTATGGAATTACCCAGATCTTCTGCATCATGGGGACCATAGAGTTCTAAAGACTTATGGCAGCTGAGTGGCTAACCTCCACTTTAGTTATCTGCTAACTTGAATGGAGATAAAATGATTCAATCATACAGCTCTCCTAGATTTTTGAAATATTATCAGACCAAATGGTTCAAATTCTTACAAGGCATTTTGCGGGCATTGTAATGCTCAAACAAAATGTATCCACACTGATCCACAGGCTTCTCTTTCACATTGTACTGTAAGTCTGTGGGAAAAAGTCCTTTTGGCTCCATAGCATCAGGTGACAGACCCAGACACTATAGTTCCACATTTGGACATTTTTCCACTATGTATAACCGGCTTCACAGCCCGATGCTGTTTCTTTTGGTCACAAGCAAAAGCCTCTCATCCAGGAGTAGATGCATGCTTCCTTCTGTGCAGTGATACAGTTGGTGGGTGTAATTCATCAAAAAGAAAGTAGTTCATACATGAAACTGCTCACAACAAAGTCTGTGGATTATCTTGAGTAACTGGGTCGTGATTTCTGGAAAGAGACATTGCTGTTGAGTTTTTCAAATTAATTTTTTGGGCACTTTGAGCACCACAAGCTGAGTGCCATGTAGTTCCATTATGTTGGAGAGAAGGCAGACATCTCTACAGTGAATATCTCCAACACTCTGCAACTCACGCCAAAACAATCTAGATTGATAAATATCCTCACAGGTTAGAGAAAAAATATGTAATTTTGATTTTGGGGTGAAGTGTCTCTTTAAAGAGGTGCTTTAAAGTGGCCTTTTTACTCCCAACTGCAGAGCTGCTCAGTGGCCACCCAGATCAGACAAACTGAACTGGGTGGCTTCTTCTATTACAGTACTTCTGCAAAAGAAGCTTAACTCTCAGTGAAGTCAATAAAGGTTACATTTTAAAACTGACTATAATCATAGCAGCAGAGATACTGTATCTGGACTTCTAATCCCTTATATATGTGAGGCTCAGAAAGCACTGTATCCTATCCAGTGTTTCCCATAGTGCAATCAAAAGCATCTTTTCCTTTCGACCCTTCCTGCCCGGTAAATGCCCACATCTTTCAAATTCCTTAACCCCACTTCACAATGCAGGCTTTCTATTAAGAATCTGTAGCTGAGATGATGTCATCAGAGTCATTTTCTTCATAAGACTTCTCCAGAGCCACAAAAGACATCACACAGCGGCTTCCACAGACTGAGTTATACCTCCAGTGACTACTACACTGTTGTGAAATGTCCCTTTAATAATAATAATAATAATATTGAAACTTGACTCATTTTCTCATCAAACAATATGACATCAGAGGGTGTAATAATCTGTGTGGATGTTAAGCAACAAGCACCAGCTAGCATTCTTTCAAAAATAGCTTTCTGGAATGAAACCACTCATTGAAAATTAGATGTCTTTGAACTCTTTCACCACCCTGCTTATTTCCTTTACAGTCTCTCACACACATGCTCCAATAAAAGCTCTTACATCATTGTTTTCCAGCAAAGAAAAAAGGCTTTGGATGTCCCTCTAACTGTAGACAGCCTATTGTAAGATAGAATAAAACATCTCATAAAAACTGTTTGTTATTCGGGGTCTTCATATTCTGAATTTCTTATTCATGTCTCAAGCAGAGCTCTCTGCTCAGCAATGATGTACACATCATGCAGAAATTAAAGGGTTCAGGAGGATGAGAGATGAGACAAGACTTAAATGAAGTTTATTTTTATTTTTATTTTATTTGTCATTTGATGTAGTGTTGTTTGTCCACTCATGATGTGTCTCTGGAAGGATATTAAAAGTTATTCAAATTAACACTGATGGGCGGGGGCTTCTTTTGAACACTTTTTACTTCCTTTGAATTTATATTTGATTTTCTTAAGAAGAAATTAACATGGACTTTCATCTTGTGGTGACGTATATCTGCTCTTCCTGCCTGATCACACCCGGATTTCAACCCACAGGATGTGTCTATAGCCTCCTTTACTCAGCCTAGACTTTATGACAGACTGAATTTCACACCCTATGACAATACGACTTGGATCAAAGTTTGGATCAGCAGGTAAGAGGCAGAGCACATGTCCTTATTTGGTCAGCGTGTCCGGTGCGTCACCGCTGAGTCTCCGCGCTGCGCAGCAACAACTCTGACAAGTGCGGCGGCTTCATTTAATCAACTCATACAAATGGAATAAAGACGACCATGGAGCTCTTCTGGGGACATTTAATCTTCACTATAGTCGTCATCAGTAAGTATTGAACATGTTTTTGAACTTTGAACGTGTTGTTGTCACCCAAAGAGTAAAAAGACAGGAATATTTTCGCCACAAATAGCGAGGGTTTTATATCGTTTTCATAAGATTGGAGTCGGTACAGTTTATTAGTCGTTTGTTATAGCGTTGTATGAGATTGTTAAATGTTTTCATACACTTTAAAGACATCTGAAGAGCAGCAGATGAGTGCGTGCTCAGTCTGCAGCCCCTTTTACTGAATGAATCTGCTTTTGTTTTGGAATAGATTTCACATCACCCTGCAGCGTTTCTCCCTCTGCAAACACATGCATGATCCATAGTCAGCCAACATGGATTAAATAACACCACAGTGGTTGTTTTACTGCGCAACATCTGGTGTATAGTGTAGAAAAGAAGCCACATAATACACAATGTTGCTCGATGTTTGCTGTGTAACCAGTGGGGGGTTTCAAACAGCAGCCAGACAGAGACTTTTGATTATTCTCCCATATATCCCCTTGTATCTGAAATGAAAGGAGATGTTAATGTGTTGTGGGGTTTGCAGAGTGCTACTCTGTGCTGCAGGTACACAGGCGTGGCAGGAGTCTGTGCAAGTGAAGGTCTCTTGAGTCCAGTACCCATCCACATTCCTCTGGCTGCTGATTGAGGGGAAGGCAGGCTGATAGCTGAGCTCTGCCTGTATGGGCTTGTGGGTGTGATTCTGCAAGACTTACTACTAGAAAAAAATTCCATGTCCTGAGGGGGTTCAGAAAGGCTGTGTTTGAAGGTGGATTGTGTCTATGGTGAAACACACTGTTCCGGGACAAGCAAGCGAGTCTCTTAGCGCAATCTTTGTATGACCTTCATGTGTTGTAAAGTTCCTTTGGTGGGTTGTCTCGTCCTTATGAGTCAACCTGATGTGGGTTTTTAAAACATACATGATTCAGCTACAAAAACACCCATTTGACTCTAAAGAGGAAGTCATGATGCTGGAGATTTAACATGACATCCTCCCTTCATAAACAACCAAAGTCATGGTAACAATTTTGATTAGAACATTTAGATGAAATTATTGGTGGTGTTGATAGTAGTTATAGCACGTACAACTGTTTAGACAGTGTCATTATTATCAGTGCAGAGAGTTATATGATGATCAGTGTCACTGTCATGCAACCTCATCCTTCTCTTCCTCCAGCTGACAGAATTTGGCACGCCACATGCTTCAACGTCGGCACTGCAGGTGCCAAGATTTTCAGCGGACCAGCTGCGGAAGAGTTTGGCTACACAGTCCAGCAAGCGACAAACCATGAAGGCAAATGGTATTGATTTTAAGTATTTGTTTTATTGTCTGAGTCCTAGACTGCATTGCTTTTATCTGTGTTTCCATCTCAAACGGCGTCCTGTCTGGGTGCTACGGCTTTCAGTTCAGTTAATCATTCATTTAGTTAATATTTCTTTGCAACTCCTTTGAAAAAGCAATAAAGGTGAGGAAGATAATGACATCCCATATCCCATGACATGCAGAGAGCAGTTTTACACATTCAGTGGGACACTTATGTAGATACACTTTGTCAGTACAAGCCTGTACATCTGAACGGGCTGAAGTCCAGAACAAAAGGCCCAGTGTGTAGGATTTGGGGGGATGTACTGGCAGAAATGGAATATAATATCATAAGTATGTTTTCTTTAGTTTATAATCACCTAAAAAATACGAATCATTGTATTTTTCTTACCTTAAAATGAGCCGTTAGTATCAACATACAGAGCGGGTCCTTTCCTACAGAGTTTGCCATGTTGATTCTACAGTAGCCCAGAATGGACAAAACCAAAGACTGACTCTCGATAGGGCCATTCATGTTTTCACGTCAGCCTCTCTGTGACGAGAATGTGAGAAACTGCTTTATTCTGTGTTTTAACCGGTTTAAATCACCGGGTCAGTTTGTTTTGGAGAGGAAGAGACCTCTGTGGGTAAGTCTGCTCCTCGTAAAAATCTCCTGAACATCTCGATCTTAAGTTATCAGAGACAAAAGGTGAGCGCACATAAGCAGGCGCTGGGCTAGTAGCTAGTTTGCGACCTGCTGAACAGTGTTGGAGAAACGCTGATTTGTATCATGGAACTGCTTCGCTCAGTGTTTTCACTGGTTTTAATCACCAGGTCCGTTTGTTTTGGAGAGGAAGAGACCTCTGTTGATAATTCAGCTCCTGGTTAAAACCTCCTGAACAAGAAATTCTAACCTGGAGACGTTTCAGCAGGTTGCAGTCTGCAATCCTCACTGCTAGATGCCACTAAATCTCACAAACAGATCCTTAAACAAGGTGCTTGTCATGTTTCACAGGACAAGCACTGACGTTGGTCCTTACTGACTTGCCTTCAAACAGCTGTGTGAGTGTGTGACAAAAAAATCCTTGTAGCTAATCTCAAAGATGCAGGGATACTCAAATTGCTTTGCCCCGGGGGGCCACTTTTACAAAATGACAAGATTCCAGGGGCCAGTTAATAGACAAACTGTAATAATAATTATTAGTAGTATGTAATAAATGAATTGCTTATTATCAACCTTTCAGTGTTTGCTGTCCTCACTCATCTTTGCAAAGATGTAAAGCCAGTTGCAGCAGCTGTGCACAGGTCAGGTGTACGCAGGGGTGTTTCTAGGATTTGAGGACGTTTGGGGCTTACCCTAGACATCTGTCAGGTATTTTTTTGGATAAACAAGCTCTTTTTTGATGCTTTTGAAATAGAATATGGTCAGCAGGCCGCCTGGCTCCCTATCCGTAGGTCAGACTGTGAATTGAGTATCACTTCTCTACAGGGCTGAGATCTTGCTGTTGTTGGTGTACACTATCTGTAATATTTCTGTATCTTTGAAGTACTATGTGTCACATCGTGGGGAATTTTCCTGGCAGAAGTATCTATTTTGCAAATGAAGGCCTGTTGCAGTAGAGTGATGCACCTGGTCATCAGTACTGTCCTGGTGTTCAGTGGCATGTAAACAACTCTCAGAGCTGTCACACTACCACCACTGCAAGCCTGTGCTGGTGACAGCATGGAGCCAAGGATTCACTGTGCAATCGTCAGTTTGTTGCCACAGACACCATGATTTAAGAAAACATCACGTTTCATGCAAGTCCAGTTCAGCTGTATCATTTTGCTTTTAAATGAGGGGAATTAAAATTGTAGTGTTTCCTACTCAACGCACTTTAAGGTTGGAGGTGTAGTGTGCTGTTAAATGCATCTCTGCTCTGTTGTACTATCACCTTTTTAGATGTACTCATGGCACAGCTCTAGGGATGGCAGTGTCAGTCTGTCAGTCAGCTGCTCAGTCCACCAATCCATAGATATTCATCTCCTGACTTTTCCCCTAGCAACACCAGTAAAATGGCATTTGTGTTTTTTACCGAAATATGAACATGTTAGCATACTGACAAAGCACAGGCGTGTCTAATGCTGCATTCATGTGCTCCTCGGATGGTCCCATTTCCCAAGTTGAGAATTTGTTTTGGAGACTTTGTTGTGTTTATGAGTTTTATGACGTAATGTGGAACAAAAGGGATGCTACAAAGAAGATGTGTTGTATTTAATTTGTATGAACAACACACTGACAGATGTTTTCAGTATTTGCGTGACAATGAAGAGTCATACATTTATAAATTCCCTAAAACTACTAAAATATCACTTTAACTGACTTATAATCAGGGCTAATGCTAATACATGACTTTTCTTACTCATCTAGGTCACTCTACGTGGACAGCAGCTATAGCGGTTACAACTTTATACCATATTATAAATAACATGACAGCAAAAAATTGGTATGCAGTATGTAAAATACTTTAAAGTTTCCTATTATCAACCAAACGTTTACTTTTGTCTGCCATGTTTCTGCATAGATGATGTCAAATTTGACAAATCTTGCACCAAAATTTTTGCTGACTGCCCGAGTTGTTTTGACTTGAGGGGGCATTCACATCAATCGTCCTAGTCAAGAACTAATTTTTCTGATTATTCGAACATCAAATTAATGCACTATAGGCACAGCCTCACAGAGCAGCTTGCTAACATGGCTGTAGAGTCTTTTTCACGTCAAATACCTGGGTATGTGAGTGGATGTAGTGCAGCAGGCTCTGTAATCCAGCCTCTGGCAGTCAAGTTACATGGATATATGTTGTTTATCGTAATAAGTTTGTCCATGTATCATTGCTTGACCGCCTTGGCAGGCACAGTTAACAGTGTGATCCTCACAAGATGACGCCCCCTTCCAAAATAATTTAAGACACCTTCACATTCTCCACAGCAGTTAGTAAGTATTGCACAAGATTTTTAAGGTGGATGCAGAAATTTGGGAGTTTTAGAAAACACATTTTATCAGTCTAGCTCCACCGATAAGTTGATGTTGCAATACACTGTTGATGCGTCCTGGGTAGATTCCTGCAAAACTGCAGAAACTGTGGTCTTAAAAACCCCTCAGTGCTCAGCTTTGTTTGAGCTGCTACAATCTGCACGTCACACAAACAATCCTGTCACGTTTAAGGCCTCCTACACATTTGTAACACTTAGTTAAACATTAACTGAGCTTCTCCGTGATGTCTGGATGTTGTGCACTCTGAGTCACTGTCTCATAGAGTAACTCACTGTCTGGAGGAGTGTCCCATTTGCATGAGTGGGGGGAGTGTCCAGTATCTGATAGTGCTCTGTCACTCCATATTGCATAAAACTATCCATGGAAAGCAGCAGTGGCACATCCTGTTTCCTGAGAAATGTCTAAATCTGAATGGTCCAGTGTGTAAGATTTAGAGGGTTTATTGGTGGCAATTGAATGTGATACAGTAAGTATGTTTTCTTTAGTGTATAATCACCTGAAAATAATAATTTTTGTGTTTTCATTACCTTAGCATGAGCCGTTTATATCTACATAGGAAGCGGGTCCTTGTCCACAGAGCTCGCCATGTTGCACCACCATGTTTCTATAGTAGCCCAGACAAACCAGATACTGGCTATAGGGCCATGTTTTTACGTCAGCCACCGTGATCTGCAGCCCCTCCGTGACAAGCTGATAAGCATTGGTTAAAGCACTGATTTTTAACATGAAACTACTTTATATTTGCTTTGTTTTAGAGAGAATGAGACCTCTGCAGATAAAAACCTCCTGAACGTCTGGATCTTAATTTCTCAGAGAAGAAACGTGAGCGCACAGTAGCAGGTGCTCGGCTAGCAGCCTGTTTGCGATGAGCCTAACAGTGTCAGAGAAACACTGATTTGTAACGTCAAATTGTTTTATTCAGTGATTTTTATGGTATAATTCATCGGAAAGATACCTCTGTGGATAATTCGGCTCCCAGTAAAAACCTCCTGAACATTGAACCCTGAAGAAAATCTAACTGGTTTCAGCTGGTTGCAATCCCCACTACTTATCCAATATAGATGCATATAAATCCTACACACTGCTCCTTCAAGTAACAGCTTGATCAGCAGCAAGCAGCATCTGAATGTTGAGATGTGGAGAAAATGTGTTTGAAGTGGGTATTTTCTGTGTGAACTTGCTGAAACTTGTTTGTTGTTTCTTAAAATGTTAAAAGCATGAGATAACTGACTTGTTGCCACTTGCCTAGAACAAGTCTACGGAAGTGCATTGCATTCATTAAATAAATAAAATTATCTCATAATTACGAGATAAGATGTCCATTTTTAATATATACAGTCAATGCAATGCTCTTTTGTACAGATTACTAGTTACCTGTTTGAAATGTAATCCATAATTTTTTTTTTTAAAGATATTTTTTTGGGGGGGCATTTTGCCTTTAATTTATAGAACAGCTAAGCGTGAAGGGGGAGAGAGAGAGAGAATAACATGCAGCGAAGGGCCACAGGCTGGAGTCAAGCCCGGGCCGCTGCGGCAACAGCCTTGTACATGGGGCGCCTGCTCTACCCACTAAGCCACCGACGCCCCATAATCCATAATTAAACTATTTTAATGACTTCATCATAGTACTGTACCTTATTACATTTTATTACTTTTTGATTATTTTTCTAACTAATGTTTTAATTGGGCAATAAAGCTGAATTGAATCTGTGAGATCCCTTTATCATAATTCAGAGATCCTTATCTATGAGATAAGGTGGATTTTTTTTTTTTTATTCAGTGAATGCAATGTGCTTCCATACAAGACCATATAAAGTACTGTTACAATATTAAAGACTGATATTTATGTATATTACATATTGCTTTTCTATTACAATTGGCCCAGAGGTTACTGCAGTCTGATTCCTGTTTTATTTTGACGTATACTAGCAGGAACAGTAGTAAAAAAAACAAGATATAACAACAAATAATTTGGATGACTTACATTCAACTGCTGTATATAAAGCTGGTCATGATCTGCACCCCAAAACATCCAGAGATGACTCTTGTGTTTATGGGAGTGGTGACGGATATTGTTGTTTTCTGTAGGCTCCTGGTTAGTGCCCCATGGAGTGGCTACAGTCAAAACAGGAAGGGGGATGTTTACAAGTGTCCAGTCTCAGGGTCCAGAAACAACTGTGACAAGCTCAATCTTCAAGGTAAGGTTTGGTGTTTTACTGTTTAACCTTTGACCTCTCTACCAAACATTGGCCATGTACTTAAAATGCCTAAACTGAACTGAACAGATGTGTCATCTTAAAACATCTGGGAGGTCTCCAGACATTGGTATGTTTTAAAATATAAATTGTTTTACAGCAAAGCATTTGTATTAGTCGTACTTATGATGATTATATACATTCCATATTTAACAGCTATGAAGTGAACTTTAAGAGTATTTTCTTGTCTTTGCCACTTTATCCACAGATTCTGTTCGTATACCAGATGTTAAAAGCGTCGATGTCAACATGTCCCTGGGTCTGACTCTCACCCGGATGCCTGCAGTGAATGGTTTGATGGTATGTGCATGTGTGTGTGTATGCGTGTGTGTGTATGTATTTGTGTTTTCACTCAAAAGATAGAAAGGAAGTCATACTGTTCCTGTGATAGATTATATCTTTTCTTGTTAACCTAAAATACTACACGTTTACTATGAATCTATTTTTTGTCTTTGTGTTGGTTATCCATTCTGATACATGTTTATTAACATGGCCTTTAATTGCCATTTGACATGTAACCACAAAATGGGCAGATTTTGATGACACAGTAAGTCAGTCATAGTCACTCATGATTTTCGTTGAAATCTCTCAGCTGAAGGAAATGTGTCAGTGGCTTCCGGTTAATAAGTTACTGTAGCAGGAAGTCGTGTCAATGTACTGCAAAACTACTAATGTTGCAGGTTTCACTTTGTTGTTACTTAACCAGTGTTGGAATGTAACTAAGTACATTTATTCCAGCACGATACTTTTAAGGTACTTGTACTTTACTTGAATATTTCCATTTTCTGCTACATTATACTTCTACTCCACTACATTTATCTGACCACTCCAGTTACTTTGCAAAATCAGATCATTAATACAAAATATAAATCACTAAATAGAGTATGATAAATTGTTCTAAGCAATGCTACCCAGCATTAAAGTAATTTAACCAGCTGCAACATTAAAGTGATTAACACATTTTAATGTATCTTACTATATCATGACGAAAACTCTGTTTGTTTGTGTGTCTGTTCCACGTTTTTCTCCTCACTGACTTGGTCAATCCATGTGAAATTTGGCACAGTGGTAGAGGGTCATGGGAGGATGTGAATGAAGCAATATTACATCAGTTGGCCAAAGGAGATTGAAATTGCAAACTTTGAATGGTCATATCTCATGCCCTGTATGTCGTAGAGGCATGAAACTTTGCACAGAGATGCCTCTCCTCATGAGGAACAAATTTGCTTCAAGAACCCATAACTTCTGGTTATATAGATTTTCCACCATTTTGAATTTTTTGAAAAACACTTCAAATCGATCTCTTCCTAGGAAGTTTGACCGATCTGCATGAAACTGGGTGAACATAATCTAGGGACCAATATCTAAAGTTCCCTCTTGGCAAAAGTTGGAAAACTTACTAAAACTGAGCTTCTATAAGGCAATGAATATTGCAGAGGGTGTGGCTCATCACATAAAGGTGTATAACATCTCAAGGGTTTCACCGATCACCACACAACTTTGTAGGCATATGACCACACACAATCTGAGGGGACCCCTCCATTATTGACCCCATCAAACAAAATGGGGGCGCTAGAGAGCTAATTTCTTATCTAGGCTGAACCGCCATATCGACTTTTACTAAACTTGGTAGATATGTAGAACAGGACGCCTCAAGGTGACTGGAGAAATTTAACTCTAATTGGCAACTGGGTGGCACTATAACAACAGAAAAACGCTTAAAAATGGCTGAAATGCGACCAATCGCTGTGGCTCCCCATGTGGCCCAATGTTGTTGTTTTTTTCTAATTTTTGGTATGACTAAGTCATGGTATGGTATGCTGTACATAATCACGGAAACTGTCAGTGTGCCATTCTGTCAGTCAGTCATTCTGTCTGTACCACGTTTTTCTACTCACTGATGTGGTCAATCTATGTGAAACTGCACATAGGCATTGAGGATTGGCATAGGTAGAAGGTGACAAAGCTACCAGTGGTTATGGACTAGTATGATTATGAACAATGAATATTGAATACTTTATATTTGGTAATTCAAATGTATTTCTGTAAAGAGTATTTCTACACTGTGCTATTATGATTTTGAAAAAAAGAAATGCAACTGGACCGAGAATCTCACCTTTATTTTTGGTAATTATTTAAGGGGAGACTTTTTACACATACTTGCATTTACAAAATGGTTTCAAGTTTCAGTTAGCGTAGCAAAACATTTGTTAATCCAAAAATAACCCTTCCATTTTCATTCCTTTAAGTGTCATTTTGATAATAATATACATTTTCTGAGACTGTTATCATACCATGAAAATCTCATATCGTTGCAACCCTAGCATTTCACCTCTCTGTATTTGTGCTTTTTTCGGCCCTGTGTCTCTTCAGTGCCTGCGGCTTATGGTCTGGCAGATGGTTGCTACCATTTTTATAAAGCCCCAACTTCACCTGAGCACTGTCGGGGTACACCCCCATAAATGTCCCGAACACGGAAAATAAGAAAATACAGGCAGAGAGCAGAGTCTCTGCAGAAACATACACGGCCACACACTGAGAGGGATTACTTCTGTATGAGACCATGTATTGTTTTTTAGGAACATCCTGCATAGTCTATCTTTAAAGGCATCATCATAAAGGATGTGGTGTTAGAGAGGTATACTTGTTTTTCTGTTGAGGCCACTATGTTTGAATAGTTGTTGTTTTATTGTCGATTTTTGTATTATGTATTGTATTTGTTGCATTTTAAATGTGGTCTGATTGGCTGCTACCTCAGCCAGGTCTCTCTTGTAAAAGAGATTTTCAATTTCAATGGGACTTCCTGGTTAAATAAAGGTTAAATAAAAAATAAGTTAATCAAAGTAAGAGATCTTAGAACTTCTCCTGCCACTGTTATTTACCTCCAAAAACACTTAAATATGAGTTAAGTCAAATTTCCAGCTAACAGCAGTTTAATTAAGACATAAGAGCTCAGTGGGAGCTTTTAAAGTCAGTGACACACTTTCCATTAAGTCTCCTCTCATCTGATACAGACGTGCGGTCCTCTCTGGGGACAGCGCTGTGGCAATCAGGACTTCTACCCAGGAATATGTGCAAGAATGAGCCCCCTCTTTCAACCTCAGCCTGCCTTCGCTCCTGCTCTCCAGAGTAAGAGCTGTCATTTTTTTTTATATGATTGTGGATATTTTGAGCTGAGTATCATTAGATGTCTCTGAGACAGGATTTAGTTTATATCAGAATAAATCCATCACCGTGACATATAGTCTTTCACGATGTCTGTATGTGCTAATGCTGTTAGGGACAATTTTGTTTATGGGAAACTGTAACATTATAGACTTCAGAGTTGGGTTACAAACAGACAAGTCTGAATTATTTTTTGCAATTTTAGTCATTGTTTATCTGCTGAAAATCATATTACTTATACCTCAGGCATGTTTCAAGTCTGCAAAATGATAAAATTTAATTTCTGGCATAATCTTAACCCAGTGGCTTCATGGAAAGTGGAACATCAATTAAAAACTGTCAATATGCTTCAGAAAATAGTCAGCACTAATATAAAGGATATGACCACAGTTACATTCATCTCCGCTGCTTAAATGTCTCATTATATGTCTCCTCTCATGACATTTCCAGCATGTGGAGGGCCTATGGACATTGTGATTGTATTGGACGGCTCCAACAGCATTTATCCTTGGGAACCAATGACCGCGTTCCTCACGAAATTGATACCGGGGCTTGACATTGGGCCCAAAAACACGCAGGTGATATCATATTTGTCGACCAAAAACGGGAAATTTAAGCAGAGATGAAGCAGGGGATAATCTTGCTGTCATTACTGACAGCTTTCTGTGCTTTGTCACACCATGTGTTTTTTTAATCATACCAGGTCAGCGTCATTCAGTATGGCACTACACCCAGGTTTGACCTCAAACTGAACCAGTTTAAAACCAAAGATGAGGTGATCGCTGCAACGTCCAAAATCAGACAAATGTATGGTCAATCTACCAACACCTTCGGTGCGATAGAATTTGCCAGGTTTGTGTTGCAGTAATACTGCCTTCATTTATTTACATATATGTTTATTTGATTGATAGTCTTCTTGTTTTTCTTATAATTTGTCTGTTGCTTGGTCTGTCTGTCTTCTCTGTTTATCTTTTTTAGTATTAACAGATTAGGAGTGAACATTTTTTCAATGTTGGTCTGTCAGATCTCTTAAGAAGTATTGTGTCTGCTCTCTTCAGTGAGTGGGGTTTCCATACAAGTAATGGCGGCCGACCAGGCGCTGCAAAGGTCATGGTGGTCGTCACTGATGGGGAGTCTCACGACGTATCTAAAAGAGAGGCAGTCCTTGCCAAATGTGAGAGACAAGGCATCACCCGCTTCGGTATCGCTGTAAGTGACTATCTTCCATTTACTACCAATTACTTTCAACTGCTTCCAATTTAACAGCTGATAGCTGCAGTTTGGTTTCTAATTATCATTGTAGATGTAAATGATGCGTGCTGATTGCATTGCGCTGGATACATTAATTCATTTTCCGTAACCGCTCATCTTGTTGGGTGTCGTGGGCGGGCTGGAGCCTATCCCACCTGACATGGCTGAGAGGCGGGGTACACCCTGGACAGGTCCCCAGACTATCACAGGGCTGACACATAGAGACAGACAACCATTCATGCTCACATTCACAACTTAGCTTGCATGTGCTTGGATTGTGGGAGGAAGCCGGAGTACCCCCGAGAAAACTCACAGAAGGGCATCTTGACCCCAGGGTTTGGACCAGGAACCCTTATGCTGTGAGGTGACACCACCGTGCCGCCCATAGCTATGTTAAATTCCCAAAAGCTTACATTTATATACATTTTTGGTTGATTTGATGTTTTGATGTGACAAGTTATTACCTAGACATTCTGAATTTGTGGTGTTGTGGTCTCCTTTTTTCCCCAGGTCCTGGGTTATTACAGCAGAAACAACATCAACACAGACAAACTCATAGAAGAAATCAAATCCATTGCCAGCTTACCCACAGAGAAGTACTTCTTCAATGTGTCAGAAGAGGCAGCCCTCTCCACCATCGCCGGAACACTGGGGAACCGCATCTTCAACATAGAAGGTGCATATTACTCTTCCTCCCTTCTTTGTTTTTTAAAAGGCTGCACTGTGTGTGTAATCTACTTGACACCACATGTTCATTGGTCCTTCCAAAGAACCTCATTCAAGCATGTCACAACATGTCCATCCGTCATAACTGCAGATCACCTGAGAGATCAAGAGAAATGTGTTTTTTTTTAATACACATCTTGTGCTTTGTATGACTCTTTATCTTCTCCTCTGGTATTTATTTCTTGTGTTAACGCTGTTTCCAAAAGGCACTGGAAAAGGGGGCGACAACTTCAAGATGGAGATGTCCCAGGTTGGGTTCAGCGCTCACTACTCCAACACACAGGTACAGAGCGCTGCCTCTTAGTTTAGTTTATTAGTTTATTTAACAGGGGCCATGCACAACACAACTGTTGAGCCAGAGTTAGCTATATAGCTCGAGCATCTGCAGTCCACTGGCAGGAAAATATTAAAAGACAGGCAGACAGTACAGACAATTAACAGTCTAGTTAAAAAGTCTAAAAAAGTCTTAAATCCAATAATTTGAATTTAAGGCCTTAAAATGTCTAAAATTCTCATAAAATCTCATAAAAGGTCTTAAATACGATTTTGAAAGGTCTTAAAAATCCATTGACGTTACTTTTATTTAAAACACGCATAAACTTCAGTCTCGCTTTTAAATGTTTCGATTTTTGAGGACGCTATAACGTAACTACAAAGCGGAACTGAAGTAGGCTACCTGTGCTGCCCGGTCAGAATTTATTGAATTTATCGATGTGAAATGGGTCTTAAATTGTACTCATTATGGTCTTAAAAAAGTCTTAAAAAGTCTTAAATTTGACTTGCAGACCTGCAGAGACCCTGATTAAAAGCAGAACAATTTGCAAGACAAAATATTAATTTATCGCTCTTACACCAGAGTGAAAACATTAAATTAAATTAAAATTAAATTTTAAAAAAATTTAAAGATATTTTTTGGGCATTTTTGCCTTTATAGATAGGACAGTTAAGCGTGAAGGGTGGGGAGAGAGAGGGGTAATGACATGCAGCAAAAGGCCACAGGCTGGAGTCGAACCCGGGCCACTGTGGCAACAGCCTGGGGCATGGGGCGCCTGCTCTATCCACTAAGTCACCTACACCCCAAATTAAATTAAATCAAATGTTTCTGTCAATTGTGACAAAGGATGTTCACACAAAAAAACTTAAAGGGTTGTCTGTTGCTTGTGGCTGTGTGACATGATAAAGGAAGTCCAGTTTGAATGCTTATCAGATGTCAAGATGTCACACATTGTACTGCTTTTGAGAGAGAATTTTACCAGTGTTGTAGTCAAGACCATCTAAACTGAGATCAAGACCAAGTCACGATCAAGACCAGAGTGCATCGAGACTGAGACAAGACCAGAAGATAATCAAAAGGCATGCAGAGGTCAATTTTTTATGTGGGAAACAAACAAATACAAACACTAAGGAGCTGAAATCAACATAACCATCGTTATTCAACACTCTCTTTTACACAGATACTTTTGTGATCTCCCCGCAGTTGTGGTCTTGACTGGTCTTGAAATAAAATCCTCTTTATGTGAGGCCGTGACAGGTTGAGTAAATTTGCAGGCGATTTCTGAGAGAGAGACCAAGATCTCCAGAAAGAAGACTGATCCTGAGTAATACAAGAATGAATTTTACAAACCTGGAAAATGATCACAGCAGCGTTAATCTTAAGCACATTAAAAAAGGTACATGCAAAATGGTATATTATAATACCTGGTTTTTGCTCTCACATGTATTTAGCCAAAGTGGTGTTGATGGTTGGAAACAGTTTATGCTTCATTTGTGTTTTTTGTTAAACCGCAATCTGTCACACATCACATACAGTAATTCTGTGACACTATGCGGTAAACAGTGGAAAAACACTGTACAGTACAACTGTACAACAATGTACTGACCAAATATTTTTCACTTGAAAATACTTGTGATAATAACTAAATACAGTTAAGTAGTAACTTATATGTGACCATAGCGTAAAGTGACAGTAAAGCTCTTTACACAATATAATGTGAACCCACAACACCTTCACAACAGCCCCCCTGCTGCACCAATGTTGCGTTCTCACTAAAAGGAAAGAGGAAGCTGCATTTTTTAAACGCAGTCTGACCACGAACCTACGCAGTTGCCTCTTTAAGCTGTTGTTCTCACACATTTCCATTTGTGGTTTTTACTGAAAGCCAGCTGAGAAACTCTATTTGATACAGATGAAAACCTTTGACACTGAAAAATTGGTTGTGTCAAGCTGCTCAGTTTATAACCTCAACCATAAATGTGATATAAACGTTGTGATCTCCAGAAGTATTTGTATCTGTGCAGTGTCTGTTGACTGTATCTGTGCTGGTTTAAGGATGTGATGATGCTGGGAGCAGTGGGAGCCTACGCATGGAGCGGGACTGTCGTCCATCAAACCAGGTCAAAAGTGGACATTCTCCCTTTCTCAGCCTTTGAGGGAACACTTCAAGACAGAAACCACAGCTCGTTACTGGGTAGGCAGATTTAATGCAATGTTTTGTTCTTTACAAAGCAGCCATTGTGACACTGTGTTACTATTACTTATTTATTATTGACTTGTTACTGATGCATTTAAGTAGACAGAGCAAATTCTGACTACTCACTGTAGTTTGGTGGTGTAATCCAGTGGTTCTCAAATGGTGTGTCGCAGCACACTTGTGTGCCGTGGGATTCTGTGAACCACACATTATTACTGCATTATTTAACTGCGCCTATACAAAAAATATTTTTAACTGACTTTAATTCAATTTAATTAAAAAAACCTTAACGTGGGACCCATTTGTCACCATTCGCACATGGGAATTATAAGTGTGTGACACATCAAAAGCCCTGTTTGGCAGCTAGTGTGAGGGATGAAAACATTTAAAAGGAGAAAGCCGTGAGTGGGACAGTAGATTGCTTTATTGTACGGAGCAAATTATAACAAAGAACCAGTGAAAACGACCTACAGCTGAAAGAAAAGAGAAAAAAGTGTTGGTAGACAGTATCACGAAAGCGACCTGTCTTATTTTATCTTATTTGTGTTGTCTTATGTTGTGATCAGAGTGGTAACACACGTTAGAGAAGCTGTTGTGCACAGATATGAATACAGGTGTTGCCTGTTGCCTTGAGCACAAACAGTTTTTAAACCACTGGTGTAATCAATAATAACACATTATAGTTTCTAAAATGATCACATACTGTATTTTATGTATAAAGCTCCTAATCCATGGTCAACAGATGTTATCACCACTATGGGTGTGTACAAACAGCTCCTGAGTGAAATCTCCTTCACACTTCTCTTGATATTATTGTACCTGTTGAGGCAGGACAACTTACCCTGTTATTATTCACAGTGTTTAGTGAAATCACCTAATTCCCAGCATAGCTCCACCCAGCCTACACCTGACTAAAGGTCTAATCGGCTAGAATAATGTGTCTGTGAGTAAGTATATGTGTTTGCATGCTGCTGGACACTGTTCATTTCAGCACCTGTGTAGGTGTGTAGAGCCTTTGATTTGCAAAACATAGCAATTGTACCTTTAAAAAAGATGTGTGGTGCAGTGCAATGTTTCCATCAGATGTTGGCATTGTACGTTTCTGCAAACCACTGATATGCTACTGTGTATGTTTCATATTTTTGCCTTTCTAGCAATCCTACAAGCAGCTCTCTTGGGAAGTTTTCTTGTACTTCCAGACCTTAACTTGACCTCCACATTTCCTGACATTTCTTAATTACATCACAAACTGAGGAAACAGCTACCTGACAACACTTTGTGTCTTCTTATAACCTTCTCCTGAATTGTGGGCATCAATCAGAGTGCTAGGCAGCAGTTTAGATTAGCCCATGGCTGATGATTGATGGGACAGGGTTTCAGGAGTCAGAATATTTATAAAGCTTTGAAATTTGCATCGCCTGGCCTTTCCTAATGATGACTGTGAACAAGCCAGAAGCCTAACAAGCTAATTATGATCTGGGACCCTGGTAAAAGTCATCTGAGAGCTTAAATGTTTTGCATGGTGCTCCTTTTCTTTTTCTTTTTTTCCACAAATCTTGCTTAAATGCTTAAATTTTAAACAGCATGTTTCATCTCTAACTTCATGCCTTTTGGAGATTAGTTCATCTTCTACTCACTTAACTATTCACAGCAAAAGAAATTTTAACCAGAGGTGCCCAAACTTTTGCATGCCACTGTATATTAGCAGAGCTTCTTATCAAGAGAAGGGGAGGATGGTGGATGGTGTGAGACTGCTGTTCAAAACCATTGAAGCAAATATATTTTAACGACAGGTCGGGACATGCTCGGCTGTGTTTGTAGCAACCAAACCGGGTATTTAAGCCAAAAGATGATCTTGTCCTAACTCTTACCAAGTGGTTCTGTGCCTAAACCTAACCACACGTTAACTACAGCGATGTCATGACATAAAAATGAAATGTTAAGCTTCAGTGTACAAATGTAACATATCTGTGGTTTGCAGAAACGTACACTGCCAATATTTACGCTGACGATCAGGTTCCCCAAGTTCAGAAGTCCACTAATAAAGTGTGTCATTTGTGGTCATTTCCAGGTTACTCCGTCACCACACTGAGCGATGGGTCAGTAGAATACTTTGTGGCTGGTGCACCTCGCTCCAACCACTCGGGACAAGTTATCGTCTACACCGTCAACGACCAGAAGCAAACTGCTATCATAGATTCAGAAAGAGGGAAACAGGTACTGATTTTACTGGATGTGTTATTCACATTTTCCCAAGAACCAACTGTATCTGTGCAGAAACAAGTTTAGCTTGTGATTAATAAACAGCAGGAATTTTTTTTCCCAGATTGGGTCATACTTTGGAAGTGTCCTCTGCCCCCTGGACGTGGATAAAGACGGGGTGACGGACCTCCTGCTGGTTGGTGCGCCCATGTTTATGAGCGATCTGAAGAAAGAGGAAGGCAGGGTCTATGTCTTCTCTGTCACCAAGGTAAAAAAGAGCAACATGGCACTTGTGGGGTGTACTGTAACTAAGTCAGAGATATTCTCAAAGCTGGACTTCATTTCTTGAACTTAAAGGAACTGTAGCGTGACGTTTAGCTCCACTCTGTGTCTTATTACCTGAAGGGTATACTGAACGAGCAGGGATTCCTCAATGGTCCGCCTCGTACTGAGAATGCACGTTTTGGGATGGCCATCTCCGCCGTTCCTGACCTGGACCTCGACGGTTATAATGACGTTGTAGTTGGCGCTCCACTAGAAGACAAAGGAAGAGGTGTCATCTACATCTACAATGGGGAGAAGAAGGCGTTAAAGAAACAGTTCTCGCAGGTGCGAAGAGAAACGGCCGTGTGTAATATCTGACTGACAGAGAAAGCTGTTTAGGAAGTTTGTTGTTTTAGTTGGAGCTAAATAAACCGCTTACTGTCTCATTTGATATATAATTTAATTCATTAAGCTCTCTTTCAGAGAATCCTTGGCTCCAAACTGGATCCTCAACTGCAGTATTTTGGAAGATCCCTAGACAGCTATCAAGATCTGAATGATGATACAGTCCCTGACATCTCCATTGGTGCATATGGAAAAGTGGTGCAGCTCTGGTGAGTAAGGCAACCTTTGATAAAGTGTGAATGATTAAATATTGACTGAATTCTATAATTATTTACTACATTATATTACTTTTATTCATGTTAGTAAATGATTGTTTATAGAATCAACAAGGCTGGTGATGATTTAAAATTACACTTTGCCTTTCAGGTCCAGAGGTGTGGCGTCTGTCTCGGCCAAAGCTTCTTTCAACCCCGATAAAATCAACATTATCAACAAACCCTGCGACATTAATGGACGCAAGCTGTCGTGTTTCAACACCAACCTCTGTTTCAGTGCTGCGTTCAGGCCCAAGAAGCCTGTTGGACCCATTGGTAAATCTGATTACCTGTTAAGCTTCTTGAGAATATCCAGATTCCTGTTTTTTAAAGCAACAGTTTAACAATTTGGAAATAAGCCTCTGTGCTCTTCTAGCTGAAATTTAGATGAGAGGATTGATACTGTATTCATGTCTGTACAGTAAATGCAAAGATACAGCCAGCAGCTGGTTAGCTTAGCTTAGCATAAAGACTTGAGTAGCGGTTGCTTGCATGGATTTGTTTCTTTCAGACAGAGCTAAGCTAACCATTTGCCTAACCATTTGCCCGTATTTCAAGTCTTTATGCTAAGCTAAGCTAACTGACTGTGTTTTTAATGAACAAACATAGGAGCAATATCGATCTATCTGCCATTCTGAGCAAGAATGGCAAACAAGCGAAATTCCCAAATTGTTGGACCATTGCTCAGCGATATTCAAATCCCATCCAGATCATTTTCAAGAAAACTGAGTGTCACATAGTGTACTGTTTTCACTTCCTTCAGATATATCCTATACTTTGAATCTGGACGCTGACTTGCAGGCCTCACGAGTGACATCAAGAGGGATGTTTACTAAAACCAACGACCGCTTGCTCACAGGAAAGGCAAAAATATCATCTACACCCTTTTGCCAAGATTACCAGGTTTATGTTCAGGTAAAGGATGAAAATCATCAGTTTTGTGTTCTTAAAGAAGATCAATGACTGTTTTTATGTGAGCACCTTGATGTGATGAGGTTTGTAGAGATATTACTTCATATGTTGTTTTCCAAAATAGGCATGAGCTGTTTTGAAAATGACCTCTTGATTTGTCTGCATATGTTTTTTTTCTACAGGAAGCACCAGATTTTATCAACTCCCTCAGTCTGAAAGTGGAAGTCGAGCAGCAGAATGCAGATGCTAACCCTGTGCTCGATCAGTTTTCTCCAACTGCCTGGGAGTTCTTTGTAAGTGACTGACATAGTACATGACATCTCTGAATCAGTGTTAGTCAAAGGTCTACCAGAAACACATCAGGTGACGAAGAGTTGAAGCATAGTTGTTATTTTGCAGAGGCGTTTGTACAGTCATCTAAAATGACACGGTGTGTGATGATTATTGGCTTTTAAAAACTTAGGTGTTTCACAAAGTCACGCAACAACTCAGATTTACATCAGAAGGAGTTTCCCAACAACATCAGAGTTCATCCAATGGAGTCAAAATATAATAGATTTCCTTTATGTTACATGTTTTTATTTCCCTCACTAAATTTCTGCTCTCTTATCATTTCAGATCCCCTTCACGAAAGACTGCGGCTCTGATAACGTGTGTGTCAGTGATCTGGTGCTCAGTGTGAAGACAGACACGAAGGGGACCAGGTAAGAATCACTGACCTGTCTCAGATGTATAGTACAAGATGTAATGCTGGTTGTCCGTCACATGTAAGTGTACAATACACAGGTTAGATGTACAGCTTACAGTTTAATGTAAAGACAAGATGTGTGCTGTTTCATGATGGTATCCTCAGGATAAAGAGTGTTGTTGCTGTTCATTTAGAGTTGAAGTTGAGAGTAGAAATAATAGCGTGTGATAGAACAAGCTTGGGCAAGGTGATGTTTTCCTTTGCTGTGAGTCATTTGTGGAATGAGGATAAGTGAATATCTAAAGGTCCTGAAAACCTATTTTCTCAATCAGCTCTTTTGCTATATACCAACTGAACACAGTACCATCCTTAAAGCCCTATACTTTTCTGTGACATAGCTATGATGTCACATAAAGGCAGTGTCCAACAGTGTACACATCTATACAACAGAGAGGAAAGAATTGTGTGAGGAGCAAATTTGGCAATATGTGTCTATTTAATGTTATGCCCTGGTTACTCCTGACAACCATTACACCATTTTCTATTTTCTCTGTTTTATGAGTCTGATTTAATTGCCAATTGCTGCACAAATTAGAGTTTTCCAGTTCGCACAGCAGCTTCATAGCCCATTAAACGTTCGGGTCAGACTTGTGAGCTTGGTAAAAACATGCAAAGTTTGGGTGTTACATGCCCAGTGAATTAACTCAGATGAAAGGATGGTGCAGTTCCACAGCTGCTATTCATCGTCATGTTTGGAGACTTGTCTATGTGCTGCTTTTTGTGTCTCTCGAGCTAAAGGAAGGCTTTGAGATTCATTGCTATATAAATACTGTATTATGCATTTTAAGGTGGAGGTAGCTACAGTATGGTTCAGGTAACTTCTGGCCTGGTAAGACCATCCTGATGACGTGAGGTCAATACTGTTTCACTCTCTGTGTCAGCCTGGACTCTATGCTGCCTCAAACACTTTAAGTGGGCGGGAGTACTCGCTATGACAGCTCCTTCAGCCATTCAGCTCCATAAAAAACCCGGGGGCAACTTCTTCACCACTGAAGCAAGCTGATAAATTGAGCTTTCAAATCCAGTCGAAAGAATGGGAAGAAATGTTTTTTTTACCTCCGAGAAACTTTGCAAGTGTGTTCTCTTGTTCTCATTTAATTGTTGAGTTAGCACTTGTTGCTTCAGGAGCCACCATTGCTGTTCTGCAAGCTGCAGCCTGCAGTTCATATCATCAACTACAACGCAGTCCCTGATTGGCTACTCACGTTGTCAACTACAGTGCGGATCCCTGATTGTCCCCGATTGGATTTTAATTTCTGTTTGGTGTGGCATCGAGTCCAGAATGATACAGAGAGCGAGACAGAATGTTGACGTCACGTCATCAGTATGGTCTTACCAGTTTAGGTAAATTCTGTTTTAGGTGCTGCTGTGTTTCCCCTGTATTTATAGATGTTAAGGGGAAAAAAAGACCAACACACGTTTAAACAATATGAATACATCATGTTTTAGTCAATCACTTTAACCATTCCTTCTTATTCCTCTCCCTCTGGTCAGTTAGACAATGCACAGACCGTGAGCATGCTCCTTTAATCTGTGACATGCAGAAATGAAATCATGTGAATGCATATACAGTAATTTGTTGTGTTGCAGCTCAGAGCCCTACCTGGTCAGCGCAAACAACCGAGAGCTGTCATTTGAAGTGGTTGTGAAGAACAAAAAGGAGAATGCATACAACACTCAGGTCTTGGCCACGTTCTCCGGCACCCTCTACTACTCCTCCGTCTTTCCTCCTGTGAGTGACAAAGGCTTCAAAGGCTGCCGAATAGTTATTTGAAAAACATTACAAGATTGTCAACTGTATGGTAAAGTATTGTCAGTGTATTAAAGCCACATCTAAAGCCGCAGTTATGAACTATTCTTATCTGTACTTTCGCAGACGGATGGAGTCAAATGCACCTCAACACAAACACAAACTGTCACCTGCCAAGTGGGATACCCAGCATTGAGAAAAGACGAAGAGGTGAGTGCAAGAGCAGAAAGATCTTTACCTGTGCTAACTATTTTTAAAATGTTTTCCTATATTAAGTTCTTTGTTCGACTAAAAATATAAAACGTCATGTTGTTTAATTACAGATGAAATTCAGGATGAATTTTGAATACAATTTTGACCAGTTGGATAACCGAGCTGAGGTGAAATTTGAGGCCAAGAGGTACACTGAGATAATTACACATTCAATGAAAAATTGTGACTGTTATTTAAAATGGTTGACATGTAATAATGTCTTGGCTTTTTCAATTTTTCACAGTGACGGTAAAGAGGACAGACCTGCCGACAACAAGGTGGACATATCCATTCCTATCCGATATAATGCAGGAGTTGGTATATTGAGGTGATTTTTTACTTTCTGTTACCGTGACATTATTATTCCTTGTTTTAGTCGCACTGTAAGGTTGATGGTTGACAATGGTAAATGCTTCGAGGTGTTAATTTTCATGGCGTCTTTGTCCTAGGGAGTCCAATATTAATTTCTACGTGGCAGATGCTGATGTTCCCGTGGTAACAACAGTGAAAAGTCTCGATGATATTGGCCCAGAGTTTAACTTCACCGTAGAGGTGCAATAAATGAATCTGTCTCCTAAAATATCACCATCTAATTTCTAATTATATTTATTTAAAATGTATTAAAACAAATTGTATTTAAAGGTTTCCACGAGTAACTTCCCAGTCAGCCTCCTGTATCTGACAATTGCTCTGCCAGTGGCCACTAAAGGTGGAAATCCGCTCCTCTATGTGACCGGTGTGGACACACAAACCGTGAGTACTCAGTTACCAAATACTGGCAAGTTTTAAAGAGTTTAAAAGCGGTTTTACTTCAAAAATATAAGTTTACACCCAATCTGCAACGTATACAAGCTGTAATTAAAACATTACAGACATTCAAACAGTTCTGTAAATATAAACAGTGAGTTGATGGTAAACTTATTGCAGAGGTTAAAGCTACAGCAGGTCAATTTTATAATAACTTTTTGTCATATTTGCTGAAACTGTCACTATATCAGTGAAAAAAATAATGTCCCTCTGGCTCCTCCTAGTGCTGCCAATGACATTTGCAAGAATCCACCACCACTGAACAAAACCAATCAGAGTAAGGAGGAGTCTCTAACACTGTGTCAATCACTGCTCGTACTTTTGAAACAAACCAAACTCGGTCCTCTTAAAGTGCACCAAAAAGTGGACCAACAGGAAAGGAACTCTTTTTTTTTGTGTGTGTGTGTTTACATTGTCAGTTCCTTTGAAAGATGACCCAGTTCTCTGTCTGGTCAGCTTTCTGTTCACACCACAGTCTATATATAACATATATTGACCTAGTTTTGTTCTTACTTTGACGTGGCACTGCAGTGCAGTCGCTTTCAGATGAACCCAAAATTGGAGGAAAACCTTAAAGCACCTCTGTGTGCTGTAGACTGTTGCCATTTGATGTATTCTGCATTCCACATCTGAAGATGAGCAGCATGATCCACGGACCAAACTACTCCTTGTCCTATGTCCTTGCAAGCGTTACAGGCTAACGTGATTTCATCTGTTTTCGTAAGTGCAAAGTGAACCTGGAGCACTTTGTGTTCACACGGCACAGGTTAAGTGAACCGCACTGTGGAGTCAGAGGGGTCTGAGTTCTATATGCGCAAAAAATGCTAGGTCACTGATTTGAGTCCGTTTAAAGGGCTAAAAAGAGCCGTGTGAAAATACACCCTTGAGAAATGACAAAATCGCTCATCCATGCTTTGCCAACAACAGTGTACACTGCAAAGACAAATAAACAGAAAAGGGCAAAGGACAATGAAAGGCAAGTTAAAAAGAGTCACACTGAGCCCGAGCCGGTGATGGTTTTGAGTCCTCCCTTTCCCGTAGCTCTCTCCACCTCTGAAAAGCCACTGCCATGTTTACTCTTGTTTTATTTTAGGCTTGGTTTTACACTTTCTCGTAAGCTTGGTTTTCGTCATCGGTCTGTTTATTTGTCTTTGCTGTGCCCTCTGTTGTTGGCAGTACGGTGTGTGCACCAGCAGTGATTGACATGGCGTTAGAGACTCCACCTGGCTCTGATTCTTGTTTTGTTCAGGCACAGTGGATTCTTGCAGATGTCATCAGGTGAATGAGGAGGGGCCAGACAGATTTTTTTCACAAATCATCTGTTTCATCTACTGCTGTCAGGACATAATGACAGTTTCAGTAAATATAAAGTCACTTACTGTAGCTTTAACCAAGCATAGCATAGCCCCTACATTAGTTAGTATTTCCTGAGTCAGGCTGTGGAAACATGATTTTAGTTTTAACTGATTTGCAGTGTGATATGATATCTGTAGAATAAATGACCTGAGGCTTCTCCACCTTTAGGGAGGTGCTGTCAGCTGTGACTCCAGCGGCCTGGTTGATCCTCTGAAGATCGGAGTGAAGAGCCATGAAGCGTCTTTCTCAGAGGAGAGTCTCAGAGGCACAGAAACACTGGTCAGTCGCTTATTTCTTTGTACGTTTTTCTTCTTTATATGTTTTTTAGAAGACATTTTCTCATGTCGTATTTTCACCTGAATCATAGAGAAGCTAACGATGCACAAATCAAAATCTGCACACTGTGCACATGACGTATCTAATGTAAATATTTGTAAATGTGATATAATAGCAAAACATTTTGCACACAAGTCAATTCATCATATTCTCATATATATTTTTTTCATTCATATTTTATTGAACTTTCTGACAAAAACTGTCACCAAGTATTAATAAATCAAGTATACAGTACAGGCCAAAAGTTTGGACACACCTTCTCATTCAATGTGTTTTCTTTATTTTCATGACTATTTACATTGTAGATTCTCACTGAAGGCATCAAAACTATGAATGAACACATGTGGAGTTATGTACTTAACAAAAAAAGGTGAAATAACTGAAAACATGTTTTATATTCTAGTTTCTTCAAAATAGCCACCCTTTGCTCTGATTACTGCTTTGCACACTCTTGGCATTCTCTCCATGAGCTTCAAGAGGTAGTCACCTGAAATGGTTTCCACTTCACAGGTGTGCCTTATCAGGGTTAATTAGTGGAATTTCTTGCTTTATCATTGGGGTTGGGACCATCAGTTGTGTTGTGCAGAAGTCCGGTTAATACACAGCCGACAGCCCTATTGGACAACTGTTAAAATTCATATTATGGCAAGAACCAATCAGCTAACTAAAGAAAAACTAGTGGCCATCATTACTTTAAGAAATGAAGGTCAGTCAGTCCGGAAAATTGCAAAAACTTTAAATGTGTCCCCAAGTGGAGTCGCAAAAACCATCAAGCGCTACAACGAAACTGGCACACATGAGGACCGACCCAGGAAAGGAAGACCAAGAGTCACCTCTGCTTCTGAGGATAAGTTCATCCGAGTCACCAGCCTCAGAAATCGCAAGTTAACAGCAGCTCAGATCAGAGACCAGATGAATGCCACACAGAGTTCTAGCAGCAGACCCATCTCTAGAACAACTGTTAAGAGGAGACTGCGCGAATCAGGTCTTCATGGTCAAATAGCTGCTAGGAAACCACTGCTAAGGAGAGGCAACAAGCAGAAGAGATTTGTTTGGGCCAAGAAACACAAGGAATGGACATTAGACCAGTGGAAATCTGTGCTTTGGTCTGATGAGTCCAAATTTGAGATCTTTGGTTCCAACCGCCGTGTCTTTGTGAGACGCAGAAAAGGTGAACGGATGGATTCCACATGCCTGGTTCCCACTGTGAAGCATGGAGGAGGAGGTGTGATGGTGTGGGGGTGTTTTGCTGGTGACACTGTTGGGGATTTATTCAAAATTGAAGGCACACTGAACCAGCATGGCTACCACAGCATCCTGCAGCGACATGCCATCCCATCCGGTTTGCGTTTAGTTGGACGATCATTTATTTTTCAACAGGACAATGACCCCAAACACACCTCCAGGCTGTGTAAGGGCTATTTGACCAAGAAGGAGAGTGATGGAGTGCTGCGGCAGATGACCTGGCCTCCACAGTCACCGGACCTGAACCCAATCGAGATGGTTTGGGGTGAGCTGGACCGCAGAGTGAAGGCAAAGGGGCCAACAAGTGCTAAACACCTCTGGGAACTCCTTCAAGACTGTTGGAAAACCATTTCAGGTGACTACCTCTTGAAGCTCATGGAGAGAATGCCAAGAGTGTGCAAAGCAGTAATCAGAGCAAAGGGTGGCTATTTTGAAGAAACTAGAATATAAAACATGTTTTCAGTTATTTCACCTTTTTTTGTTAAGTACATAACTCCACATGTGTTCATTCATAGTTTTGATGCCTTCAGTGAGAATCTACAATGTAAATAGTCATGAAAATAAAGAAAACGCATTGAATGAGAAGGTGTGTCCAAACTTGTGGCCTGTACTGTATGTGCATACATATGAGGGGAAACACAATAACTAAATAAAATAATAACATAAAAATGCATAAATAACAATACATAAGTAATTCTTAAAATAATAATTCTCAAATATTTGTAAAGTGCATAAACACGTTATTTATAACTGCATACATTATGTTTTAATAATCCTTAAACAATTCTTTATTTTAATAAATATTGTATTTATAATATACTTAAATTAGTACCTCTAAATCATCATGTATAGTTGTAATTAATATCTATACCCACTGTTGTTGTTGTTGTTGTTGTTTTTTAATAACCAAGAAATTCGAAATTGTGGTTGCATTAAAATTTAGGCTTGTGCACTGACTTCCTTTTGTTAACGCTGTTCAACAGGACTGCAAGAGTGCAAAATGCGCGTCTATAAAATGCATCCTCAAGGACACTGAACTTTTAAACGACTACTATGTGAAAGTTAAAACAAGAATCTGGAGTGGCACATTTCTGTCGGTAAATGTATTCAATAATTTAATCATAATGATACTGGTTGTTTTGTCTGCTTTGATTCATTTAATTCTCTTATGTTACTCATTAATGAATCCACTGTGATGCTTTCAGTGCACTCATTTCTATAAATTTGTCCTGACAGGCCACCTATCAGACCGTCGAGCTGACCTCCAGTGTTGATGTTGAGACTTTCAACCCTGACCTCCTCATTGTCTCCCCCAAACAGCTGCCAGTAAGATTTTCATTTGGTGCCTCACATAAATGGAGAAGGAAAAGATTTGTGATAGTGTCAAATTTTATCTGTAACCTTGAAAATTTTTAAGCTCCAGACTGCAGCAAAAATATAACATAGTTCTCAAATTTAGTGGGCAAACTCTGACGTGTGAACTTTGTTGTTTATTAATCGTTCCATATCTGAGTGAGACAGACCATGTGTTGACCTCTCCTGTCCTCCTGCTGTCCAGGTGGTGCTGACAGTCAGTAAACCTGGAGAGAAAGGTGAAGTTCCAGTGGGAGTGATAGTTGGCAGCATCATCGGCGGACTGCTGCTGTTAGCTCTGGCTGTTGGACTTCTGTGGAAGGTAACTTTCTGTCTGTGTGTCTGTCTGTCTACGATTTGGTGTAAATAATTTTAACACAGAGAGGACTATTAGTTAAGTATGTCCTCCACCAAGGTTATGTTTTCGGTCAGGTTTGTCTGTTTTTCAGCAGAATTATGGAAAAACTACTGGCTAGATAATTCATGAAACTTGGTGGAAGGGTGTAGCATGGGTCAAGGATAACCTGTTCAATTTTGGAGTGGATTATCTCTTAAATCACTTATATCTCTTAAAATGAGCAATTCACCTCTGCCAGTTTGAATTGGAGAATCAACCTGATATATGTGTGTGTTTCTTTTAACATATAAACTGCTATACAGCATTACAAAAGAAAAAGAATGTAGAAAATGTATGCATATGCACAAGCACACACATATACAGATACCTACATACATATAGAACCTTTAAAGCAACAGGCATTTACGGAAGATAAAGGCCTAATCAGGGCCTTTTGTATTATGATCAGCTACGACAAGATGTAAAAAAAAAAAAAAAAAAGGTTAATGTGATTTTCTTCACATGGAGATGTCAGTAAAGTGAGGGTTTAGAGTCTAGCTTTTATATAGTCCAAGAATGGATTCCACATTCTCACAAATTTATCAGAAGAACCATTTAATGTGAATCTTACTTTCTCAAGTCTGAGATGTTGCATCGCTTCCCTGAACCACTGAGTCCAGCTCGGTGGATGAAAGTTCTTCCAGTGAAGAGAGATAAACCTCTGTCCTAATAAAGTGACAAATGTCATTACTTTGAGTTTAGATCCTGAAAGATTCTTATTTTCCTCTCCTGCTATGCCAAATGATCTGGGTGAATTTTCATTTTAAAAATATCTGATAGTGTTTTGATGATTGAACCCCAATAAGTGAACAAATTAGGACATAGCCAGAATGAGTGTGCTGAGGATGCAGGAGAAAATCTGCACCTGTCACAAGTGGAATCAACATCTGTGAGCATTTTAGAGAGCTTGACTTTTGAGAAATGAAGACGATGCAACACGTTAAGTTGAATGAGGCCATGCCAGGCACAGATTGAGGCAGTGTGGACCCCCTCGAGGGCTCTTCCCCACTGCTCCACCATCACAACCACCCCCAAATTGATCTCGCATATAGACCTCAGATATTCAAGTGATTAGTTTTGTAAATTTGATCCATGGGTGTTTCTTCAGGCAAGTTGGGAAAAGAAGGTGTATTACTTTTAATATAACTATGAACTTGGAGGAATCAGAAGAAATGAGGTTGAAATTTATTTGGCAGTTGTTCAAAGGTAGGAAGTACTTCGTCTACAAAAAGGGCCTTCGTATTTCCTATGCTGTTCTTTTTCCTGATCTGTGTTTTAATAGAAATGTGCAGCTTTATGTTTATAGATTCAAAAGAAACTTGATTTTCTTATAATCAATCAACAAAGCAACAGAATGCTGTGTATTTACTATATATATATATATGTACATTTGGATATAACAAAAATAGGATATATTCTTACAGAAAATTGACTATATACTGGACTCTCTTGTAAAATACTTTGTTTGTAAAATAGGTTTGCAGCTGATATTGGAACATTGTCTGAACTGAATCTGTTTACTTTGCAGTTTGGGTTTTTCAAAAGAAAGTACCAGCAGCTTCTGAGGGAGGGCGATGAAGACACGCAGAGCCACGCACATGTGGACGAGGTGTTGTGAGCTGGAGACAAAAACCCGCAGCGCTCTCTCTTCCCTGGATTGTTTCCAGTTCTGGTACTTGTCACTGGTTCTTGTAAAGTGCAAATGGACTTCAGCTCAATCACTGGACGTTGGGCATTTTAATGAAAAGGAAGCTGTTCAGTTTGTGGAAAACTGGGACTCGATCCTCTGTCCATTTGACGGAGGCGTATTCTTAAAAATATTTTTTTGAGAGCTTTGTGGACTGTATCTTGACTAGTTGCTGTTGTGCACTGATTTTGATAAAAATGTAAAAAATATTTTTTCTCTCAAAATGTCAGAACCATATAAAATCACATTTTTTAGGCCTTTATGACATCGATTAGAGTTTTACACTGTTAAGGCATCTAATTTCTGCATTGCCTTTAGTTTTGATAAATTCTGGGCAATGTGATGGACAAATAACAGTTTAAATTGGAAAAAATAATTATTTTGTTTTTAGCTCTTTTGTCAAAACATTGACGTTTTTAGCTCACATGCTGTAGCCAGTCAGACTGTAGCATAAACCGAGATCCACCGTCGCCTCTAGCACTCAGGGCTCCTGTTGCATTACTAATATGGATAACAGTTTGTATGCAACAGGAAACGATCGCTATTCTGGAAAGAGTGAAATCTGTCACTCCTCTGTTTCATTGTGTTTGTACTGTATATACTGAAGATAAAATGATCTTTGATATTGGGTTTTATATGTTGAAAAGATTTGAGGTTATATGGGTCCGTGGGGTAGCTACTTGTGTTGTTGATATTGATGATATTTTGTTTTCTGTTTCCATTAGTAGCATAGTTTGCAGGTGCTATTATTTTACAGCATATTGTGTTTTCATAATTTGCCGATTATTTTCTGGATTAGTCAATTAATGGGTCTGCCTATTAAATTTCAGAAAATAGTTCAAAACTACTTTCTGGTTCCAAGGTGATGTTTTCAAATTGGTTGTTGTGTGCAATATACAGTCCAAATCCCACATTACTGTCATATAAGACAAAGAAGAGTAGTTTGAACCAGCAAATGTTTGGTATCTTTTGCTGAAAAGAATCCTTCCCAAATGATCATTTGTATATCAATTACTCATTCTGTGTTATGTTGAATTCAGAAAGAAAACGTTTTTCTCCCATGCCTCCACAGTGAATGAAGAATCCATTAACTGAAAATTCTTGATGAAGTTATTTAACAACAGCAAAACTTTTTAAAAATATCCGTTCACAAGCTCTCTCACAACTTGTGCAGTATGATCCAAGTCTCTTTTATCCATTTGTGCTCAAACATGCGTTTTCGCTTAATCCTTACAATTTGGAAAACTTTTGCATGATCATGCAGGTGCACGACTCGTGTGTGTGTGACCATTCATGCAGAAGTGTTTTAAATTGTAAGATTTTACTGAAAATGTGTTTTCGAAGTCGTACGACTGGTAAAATGATGCTTGGATTATACTGCACAAGTTATGTGAGAGTTTGTAAATGGATGTTTTGATAAAGGTTTGCTGTTGTTAAACATGGATCACTATGACTTTAATTTATCAAGCATGCAGTTTTTGGATTCTCTGCTCACCATGGAGGCATGTGAGAAAACAACGTTGGGTGAGTAACTGATATACAAATTATTATTTGAGGGGTTAGGTATTCATTCAAACCATTAAATCAATTATTAAAATGGTTGCAGATGCATTTCCTGTGAGTTAACTAGTTCATTACTTGACTAATTGTTTCAGCCAGAAAATAGTTTATCTGCAGGGCAACATGTGCAAGTATTATTCACTACAGAGGAAAAAGTCATAGACTCACTTACTTTCTAAAAACACCCAGTCTGTATATTTGTTTCTAAATTACAGTTGGAAGTTTTTGAGAGCACAGATCAAAGCTAATCCTGCAGGATCTATATGTGTACTAGCACAGTTTCGCCACAAGATGGCAGCATGATATAGATGACCTGCACTGTTGTGTATTTCCCCACTCTCCTCTCCTCTCCTCTCCTCTCCTCTCCTCTCCTCCTCTCTCACTAGAACACCTTTAAAAAAAACTTGACCCTGCAAGGAACCTTACTTGGACCACCTCCCTCCAAACATCAGTATAATTGAACTTTTCCCTCAAACTCGATTAATTCCTTCTCACATTTTTGACTGTCGTGTTCTCCCACAGTCCCACAGTCAGGTTAGTCTGTCCCTCGACTGTGCTGGAATGCATTTCTGAACGTTATCCCTTTTGAACGAGCCAACTCCTGCAGAGTCTTTAGCATTCATTTCTCTGGATCTGACTGGGTGGAATAGGCTATTTGACTCTAATAAATAGCATATTTTTGGGTGGAGCCTGGGCTCGAGCTCTCCCTGTTGGAGGGGATATATAGAATTTTGATAGATGATAAGTGCTCTGTTTCACAATTACTCATGCGCCACAGTGTTGTGAAACAGCCTTTGGATTGTGTCTATATGTGTACAGGGAGCTGTGTGGAAATAGTTGTTGAAATGTGATACAGTGGAAGTGTTCGAACACCTTTGTAGATTCGTTCCCTTTGGGGTTTCCTGCAGATGATTGGCAGTTACAGCCAAACAACTCAGCCATGCCACAATGGGATGATTGCTCGCAAATGGCTGCAATGTCGTAAATCAAAAATGATGTCATAGCAAATTATTTAATAACTGTTGGCCTTCTTTTGCACTTTGTTAGACGTTTAGCGTTACGGTGATCTTCATTGTTTCATCATGACTACTTTTCAGACTTTTGAAATGTGTGTTTTTTTAAAATGAGGATTCTCATACACTTGACAGATCCTTAAATTTTCATTTATTTCATTTGATGATAAAAACTTATGTCATACAAGGTCACAGTAGATGGGAGTAGCTAAAGCCACACAGCATTACAGCCAAAACTTTTGGCTTCTTTTAATGCAAAAAATTCTGTATCAAACAAACAACAAAATAAAAGTCATCCCCCATGGCATCAGGGGTGTGTGCAACCGATCAGTGCTGTATTATAATCTGTGACATTGATCTTACTTATAGTTACAGACAGTTCCAATCAGTGCAAATCATTCACAGTATGGGTCCGTCTGAACCAGATTCAGCTCAGAGCCAGGGACAGGGAGCACAGGTTGTCCCTCTGCTGATGCCATTAATGGCTTCAGGAAAACAGCCAGCACTTTAAAGTTGATACAGCAGCAGGGCAGAAATGTACTTGCATATCAAGTGTTTTGGAAGCTTCGACTCTTCAAAGACTCTGATCTCACAAATCACACACAGCAGGCGCTGAATGATTTGCCAAACATAACTCGACATCAGGTAAACATTTTTCAGATTTGTTGAGAGAAGTTAATTGTCCGAAGTGCCGCTTTTGCAACAGTTTGATGTTGTGATCATTCTTAAACACTGAGAGACACGACAACTACTATTTTAAGGTTTATATGCAGCTTCCGGTTAGCTTGTTTGAAATCAGAGTAGTTTAAATGGTCATGTTCACTAATTTCAATTGGTGTGACTTAAGTCAGATTCGTAATCACTACAAGGGATAATTGGGTAAAAATATATCAATTTCCACACCCAAATGGGTTACTCTGCTTGATAAGGATTAAAAATAGTTTCATAAAAGAGTAGATTTCTTCAAGTGTGGTTCCAATGTAGCTGTGAACCTCAGACAGATCATTTCACTGATTTACGTCCATCCAAAATGTTCAATCTGATTCCAGAAATGTGAAATTTCTTGAAAATTCATGATGTCATTTTGACTCATATAATAATCACCACAAGCAGGAAATGTCTGAGCAACAGTTACTTTGGAAGAACATTGAGGACTGCATGTTATCACTAAGAATGAGGGCAAATTGACTAAATATTCCCACACAAGATTACAAAATAGCTGATACAGCAGCTGGAAAGAAAATGTTTTAACAGCAACGGCGTAGGTATTGTGTCAATACTGGGGGACACACATATGAAGTGGGGTTTTGAGGGTCCTCTGCTTAGCAATTTCGAGCATCAAACACTTAATTTGCTGCATTCTGGTGAATTTGACTGCACCAAATTGGAGTTTTTCTATCTTTAAGGTGGAAAATGTCTTCATTCTCTCAACATAAAAGTCCTCTGCTGATGTTTTTTGGGGTGAGGGAGGACAAAGGCATATGTTCTAAATGTTGAAGGGGACATTTCCTCTGCGTCCCACCCCCCTGAAACACACATACACGCTCACACAGTCTAAGCCTACAGTTAACAGTTTCATTTTCTGGGCATTCAAAACCATTTGAAAAATTGATTGCATCCTTGTTTTTAAGTCTTCCCACTGACTGCTGTTTCTGATTACAGTGTGAAGCACGTAATGTGATCTGTTAGCTGTCCTGTAAGTTGAGGATAAACACATCTTCCTTCTCCTCCTCCTCTGTTTGTTCTCTTTGAGCACAGCTGTCTTTACGCAGCACGAACCGAATCACTGGATCACAAAGAAGAGCAAAAGAGCGTGCCATAAATAACGCTGCAAGAACCTCTTCAGAAATGAGTGCATCACTACAAATCAAACATGCACACGGTGGGTGGTCTTAGTGCATAATATAGAAGAGGGGGATGTGATTGCAACATGGATTAGACTGTATGATGATGATCATAGGTGTCGATTTTGGGGGGGGGGGGGGGGGCAGGGGACACGTCACCCTCAATATGTAGAACATGTGCTTTTACCCCCCACCCCCCAAAAAATGTTAGTTTTGACAAAAATGTAAGACTTTAACACCATGATATGATGCAGAAAAGGCACAAATGGTGAAAAAAAATCACCAGAATGCAGGAAATTAGGTGTTTCGTGTTAAAAAATTTCTTGTGGAGGACCCCTGTTTCATATGTGGTTGGTAGTAGTGGGGCATTAATTGATACTGTTTCTGTGCAACCACACTCACAGCTCTGGATATATGGGAATATTTCATCTTGGAGTACATGTGGCCCAACTCATGTTTGGTAGATTATGACGCCTAAATGGTGTTTCACTGGAATCTGAAAAAAGTGGGGGATTACAATGTGTTCTTCCTGGCCGACAGATAATTAACTCCCTGGTGTCTGATTCACACAGCCGACACTTTGCTCTTTGCTCTGGAGAGCTGTAACCAGAGTTCCGCTGAAGAGGTCGCGCAAGGACTTCTGACGGAGTTCAGCCTGTCTGTGCGTCAGTGAGTGAAGAGCAGTGTGTGTATGAGTGTGAGTGTGTGTGTGCGTTTCATTCAATGAAATGCAACACCCTGCTCCTCTGTCTGAAGCCTCTTCGGAAACAGGTTTGATTATATTTAAAAGCTTGACCCGGGAGAGAAACCCAAACAACTGTCTGTTCTAATATTAGCCGTGCGGCTGCGGACTACTATGAATTCTATTATTGTCTGGGCTCGGACATATTCCAAAAGGCAACTCTCATCAAAAGATTTACACTTTTGACTGCAGTTGGTGGAAAAAATATCAGTTACCAACAAGTAGTACCCTTAATTTGAAGGACTGCTGGTATGTCCGGATGGGCATGTTGGCAGTGGGCCTGTTAGATTATACAGCAATAAAGGCCTTGATACATGAGTAACAGTGACATTCATTATCACTATTATTATTATTATTGTTATTATATTATTATTCATATTTTTTAGGTGATAAAAGCTTTAAATGCGCGTTTCCAAGCCGTGCGTAAAATCACCTATCCGCCTCACACTGGTGAAAAATCGAAAATGATTAAAATTAAACATTAATAACATAATTTTACATCAAGACAAAAATTCATGTCAACTGACACATTTATTCTGATCTGCTGTTTGCTTCTGTGTGACTGCGAAGCCTCCTGTTTCCGGTGTTTCTTTTTCGTTATTAGATTCAGACCTATCTTCATATTCTCTGATTATTGTGATAAGAGAAAGTTGCCTGTGACGATGTCACCTGATTGGGATTGAAAGAACTTTGGTAAGAAAAAAAAATCTCCCCACCCCCACAGAAGAGGAGACCGCCCACCAGAGTCTCAACCCGAGACCCCTTATAGATTTAAAAAGAGAGGCTGCATTCTCAGACTGACACTTATTCAACACTGCCACCTTAAGCAGATTACTTTTGCGCTGCCTGTGTCAAATACGTAGTTCACTTTGCCTCTCCATCATGTTTAGGATGCTGAAACACCACCTTCACCCGGGCTTTTTTCTCTTGTTCATATGGCTTTGTCACCTCATGGAACATCAAAAAGTTCAAGGTAAGCTCTCCTCATCCATTTTCTTCTATTCTTGCCGTTTTTGAAAAACTTCGACATGCTGTCAGACACAAAACGCGCCCTGTGTCGGATACTTGCTGCAACCGAGAAACTTTTCAAAGTGAGTTTCCTTTTTTCCCGCTGATAAAAAACTCTCTGTCCATCAGACAGTGCGTGCGTAAAGCGTCCATAAAACAGGTGCCATATGGGACACTTCAAAGTGAGACTATAGCAAGTTTTGCAGCCCTCGCCAGGCGCACAAGCCGCCACGCCGCGTTGGTGGCAGCGCCAGCTCTCCACAATACCTGAGCATGTTCTGATACTTTTGTATGAGCGTTTAATGTCTCACGGTGCTGCAGTCAATCCTGTAACAAACTTCAAAATATCCACAATGAGTTTATGGTCGTGTTATTGATATATTTCCCGCACATATCCACTCGGCATTGTGTGCAAAAATACCTTTTTTGTTGCAATCTTACATCTTTACTTTCTACAAAATATAATAAAACTGGAGAGTTTTGTAGATATAATTTCCATCGGGAGCTTTTAGTTCAAATAGAAATCTGTCTTCAATTTAAGAACCACGCCAGTTCATGAACACTTAATGTCATATGTGTCTGTGTCGGTTTAGACATCCTGCTGTTGTCTGGATCAAAGGATATTTTTTGTACCACAGAAATAGGATAACTGTTTTGTTTTTGCATTTTTTCGTGTTTAAAATAAACTTTACACTGGTTTATTATAAGGCAAGGCATTGTCTGGTGGGTACATGTCTGGGATATTGTTCTGAGGCGTTGGAGACGGTGGTGTGTTTAGCTAAAGACCGTGGTTTTCTGAAGGAGATTGGCTGCAATTTAACGCTGTCTAGACGCTCCACTTTCTGTCCAGTGATAACAAGGAGGCTCTAGGAATAAAGGAAACCCCCCTCCAAAGATTCTTCTTACTTTTTTGGTTTGTGGCTGCATTGTAAGGGCTGTCAGTCACAGATGGGATAGGCAAGTGTTAACAGTCTAGCAAAGAAAAAAAAAATCAGACAAAATACTGCCGGGAGGGCGAAAGGGAGGGAGGGAGCGTCTCGGATAATACGGGCTGCGTGTGTGTCTAGTGCGTCTGGGTCAGCGGTTTCAGACGTTCAACATGCGACACTCGAGTATTTTTTTGTTTTTCTGTTTACAGCTGGGAACTGCTGGCTGCAGCAGGGGAAGAACGGGAGGTGCCAGGTGCTCTACATGCCCGGGATGAGCAGGGAGGAGTGCTGTCGGAGTGGAAGACTGGGGACATCCTGGACTGAGGAGGACGTCCCCAACAGCACGCTCTTTAGGTGGATGATCTTCAATGGCGGAGCTCCTAATTGCATACCTTGCAAAGGTGGAGGTGCACTCATTTCCCTTCGTTCTCTCATAATACACATCCTCAGCCATTTCGCGTAATAAATCCAAATGCTGATCTGATTTACGCACATCATCGTGCGTAAATTATTCCTTTAATGTGTACTTTATCCGCCAGAGTTATTTTACGCACAAGGCCAAAATCATCTCCAGCATCCCATAACACAGACTTTTTATTATTTTAGAGACCTGTGATAATGTTGACTGTGGGCCTGGAAAGAGGTGCAAGATGAACAGAAGAAGCAAGCCGCGCTGCGTGTGCGCGCCAGACTGCTCCAACATCACCTGGAAAGGGCCAGTCTGCGGCTCTGATGGAAAGACCTACAAAGACGAATGCGCACTGCTGAAGGCGAAATGTAAAGGCCACCCCGACCTGGACGTGC